TCGCTCCTACCGATTGAATGGTCCGGTGAAGTGTCTGGATTGCGGTGATCTCGGCGGTTTGCCGCTGGGGGTGCTGTGAGAAGTTCATTGAACCTGATCCTTATCATTAAGAGGAAGGAGAAGTCGTAACAAGGTTTCCGTAGGTAGGTGAACCTGCGGAGGGATTAAAAAAAAAGAAAATTTATGTGTGTCATCCTTGGGCAGGGGCCATGCTATTCTTCTGTGTATTGTTCCCATCTCTTTAATGGATGTCCCGAAGGACATCAGTCCGGCTGTTTCTATTCCGCTGGCATGTGAATCTGAGTACAACTCGTCCGTACGCTTTCTCACCTTACGGCTCAGGGAGCCCTGACAGCGCCAAGTGCCTCTCTGGGGGGGGATTGACTGTCATTTAAGCCCATACTTCTGAGCACAAGCCCCTCCCCTTCAGCAAATTTAGTAATGTACCCCTCCCCAATAAACATTCCTGGAAAGAATCCCTGCAAGTGTTTTGAAGTCTTGGCAGATTATGCTGAAACCCGAAGCCCTGGAATATGCGTAGTCTCTGTCTGCGTACCTTCGAGTGAAAGCCGGAGGCATTGATTGCCCCTGTACTACTGGGAATCTTCCTAGGCGAACTGATGGTTGTCAAACATAATGATTCTGGCCTACTTTTATGATTCTCATGGCCGGGCGAGGCATTGAGAATCTTCTTGCCCTTCTGTTCCTGACCACCAAATCCATCTTTTCTTCTTTTGTTTCCCCCATAAAACCAGTCTCCTCACTAGGAGAGGTGATGAGAGCACCTCCCTTAGTGAGAATCCCGGATCCTCCAGTCTATTGATGGGGAGCGGCACCTGCTGGAAAATGCGTCCAGATGCGTCCAGCGTCCCTTTACAACGACTACCTGCCGGCATTGATTGCCCTGTTACCTGGGATTTAACTGCGCAGCGCAGCAGCGCAGGTATTCAGATAGTTAAAAACAAAGAATAGCGCACTCTTGGGCAGGGAGCTGCCTCTTCGGCCTGGGGCTGCCCACCAGATTGATCTCATCACCCTAGCCACTCCTTTTAGTCTTCCTTTCCCAATGTAGCTTGCTCAGTAAGACTGCCGCCCTCGAACCGCACCTCAGTGCAATCCTCAAATATTCGACTTTTGTTCTCCACGATTCCCACTTTCCCTTGCCCCAGTAGACTCCCTTCCCAAACGCCTCACTTGCCGCGTTTGCTGTCTCCGGGGATCGCAACATTCTTCTTCTCATACATTGCCATTGTGCAGATGATCTAAAGTACGCGTTGTTGCAGTCTCCGCCAGCATCCTTATAAACTTCGTCGAAGTGTGCGGGGTCTGTGTTGCCAGCGATCTGATTACAGTCCTCCGGGAACTCTGTGGCTTGGTGCTAACCCTTTGCCAGAGATGCCGAACCTCCTTCCATATCTGCCGAACCTTTCTACATTCCAGTAAGCAGTGGCTCATTGTCTCTCTTGCCTGTTCCGTGCAGACTATGCATAGCTCACCCTGTGGCATTTCTTTTTCCTTGCTTCTTCGGGTGTTGAGCTAGACATTCACTGGCAGGGCCAGGTAGATGGATACACAGTGACCGCGTGCTTCTCACGTTGCCCAGTCGGATGGTATCTAATTGTCTCCCTTGCCTGTTCCGTGCAGACTACGCATAGCTCACCCTGTGGCATTTCTTTTTCCTTGCTTCTTCGGGTGTTAAGCTAGACATTCACTGGCAGGGCCAGGTAGATGGATACACAGTGACCGCGTGCTTCTCACGTTGCCCAGTCTGATGGTATCTAATTGTGTCCCTTGCCTGTTCTGTTGAGACTACACATAGCTCACCCTGTGGCATTTCTTTTTCATTGCTTCTTCGGGTGTTAAGCTAGACATTCACTGGCAGGGCCAGGTAGATAGATACACAGTGACTGCATGCTTCTCACTTTGCCCAGTCTGATGGTATCTGATTGTGTCCCTTGCCTGTTCTGTGCAGACTACACATAGCTCACCCTGTGGCATTTCCTTTTCATTGCTTCTTTGGGTGTTAAGCTAGACATTCACTGGCAGGGCCCCTTGCCTGTTCTGTGCAGACTACGCATAGTTCACCCTGTGGCATTTCTTTTTCCTCGCTTCTTCGGGGGTTAAGCTAGACATTCACTGGCAGGGCCAGGTAGATAGATACACAGCGACTGCATGCTTCTCACTTTGCCCAGTCTGATGGTATCTAATTGTGATCAAGGGAAACCATTGATCCGAGTCGAGTTTAGCACCATCTGTATTCGCCATTGCTAATGGAAGCCATTTATCTGAGTCGAGGCTAGCCCCATTTGTTTTCGCCATTGCTGATCCAGCATCACATCTGGTACCTGCGAATGCATTCGAAGTTTGTAGCCCGACCGCGTCGTGTATTGCAGGATATTAGTCCTCAGTGTCACCCTTGTTTTCCCTCCTCTCGAGTTCCATGCCGATTCCGCTGGATCAATCTCCTAGTTATTGGTCGTGATGGTCGGGCAATAGATGGTAAATTCATCACATCCTCAATTACTCTCACCTTCTGGGCTAC